CCAGTTCTCTGCTCCAGTGCCTCATGCAGCCCTGCAAAGAGGCATCGCCCACCACACCAGGCACACTGCGCCCTGGTGGAGACAAAGCAGGAGCTACCTTCCTTCTGCGAGAAAAGTTTGGGGAATTGCTTCCTGATGTGGTTTGTCAGTGCTGCCGCAGCAGCAAAATACTCCTAGTGCAAATCTAGGTTCACTGGTGAGTGTTATAATATTACCATTCTGCAGTTAAAATGCCTGCAAGTATTTTGATTTGAAGATATTAAGCGACCTGTGGTATTCAGATATTCTCCAAGAACAGTCGTCACTAGGACCTCTTTCACCTAAGACTGCATACGTGCCAGCCTGGAAGTTGACTACAGAAGACCACAGCATGATTTCTCTTCTTGACACTAAGCAGCTAAAGCTGAAAAACAGGACATAATTTAAAGCTAACTAAGAATTTTTCCTCTAAACCTCTGATTTAGCCTAAGGCATGGAAATTCATGGTATTTGCATATGATGCATTCAAGAAAAAACATTTAAGTCTCTTACTACACATCCTAGTCTTGTTTAAACATTATGCAAGTCTGCCTTTAGGGAAAAAAAAATGAGCAATCCCCAGAGCTTTTCACCAAAAAATCCCCAAAAAACTCTGTAGTTCCCTGGCAAACAACCAACAGAGAACCATAGAACTTCTAAAACCACAAAAGCAAAAGGCTGTTAGCCAAGTGCACCAGCATTCTTTGGTGACATGCAGCTTCTCAAAGCCATGTTTGCTTAAGAGAAACATGACCACAGGATATCAATGACCTGTTCAACCTGTTCCCTTCAAACGCAGCACAGGGCACCTTGGTTTAACACTCACATTTTCAAGCTCTTAGCAGAGCCAGTGGTGACCCTTTATTTGAAAATGCACAGGAAAAAAAAAAAAGTCCAGCTTTTGAAGCTTGAGATTTTTGATGAAGCCTGATGAAGATGATACTACCAATTCTTTGTACAACAAAAACTCCAGAAATGTACAGGAGAGGCACACAGACATTTACAGACCCTGTAATACCAGTGAAAGCTCAATATAAGGATCCTTTTAAAAAATGATCTCTAGAATGGGTGAAGCATTCATATCTCAATGGACTACTAAGAACCCATTTGCACTTTTTACAAGATCTGTAGGAACTCAAGATCCCTCATTGCAAGTTCTGAGGGATTCAACCAATCAGCTTTCCACCTCATTCAAGACATTTGGAAGTTACTGGTTTAGTCATTGTCATGATCCCACTTGAATAGTCTACCAATGCCCTTTCTCTTCCACACACAAACTAACACTTCTACAGAAGACCACATTTTTACTTGTATTCCTTCTCTTATTGTCAACAGTACAATCTGAAGTCATAATCTCCAAACAAACATTAGAATAGTGAAGCTTTTTAGAAAGAAAAAAACAGGCCAACCCATCAAACAAATAAATCAGTGGAACATCCTGCAGCTCTAGTAATTCTCCCACTTCTTTAAAATATCTTATTTTTCCATCTAGGAATCCCTTTTAAATAGTCATTTAGTTGACTCAGAGCATCCTGTAAGCAAGGTCTCCTGCTGCTGCCAGCAGCACTGGGTTTTACCTTAGCAGATATGTACCTGCTGGCTGACAGAAGAGGAGTGACATGCTTTGACCATGACAACCCTGCGGTCTGTAAAATTCTTCAGAAGCAGTAGCATTTCCATGCTGGTGTCACCCACCTCTCCCAAAAACAGTCCCCTGTCTGCAAATCTCCCAGGTTATGTATGAGGAGCAAACGTGGCATGGGATTGCTTCAAGGCAAAGTGATTCTAGAAGAAAGAGAACATGCTTTGGAACAGGTCTATGTTGGATCAGTTGCCATACTGATCCTAGAAATCAGAGTTTTACACATGGGATTATCCTGGATTCATTTCCTGGCCATAAACTCACCTTTGTCTGTAACCAGGAGTAATTGTCATGTGTGGATAGTCTGAGAGGAGGTATTTTTTACAGCATTCAGAACTGACCTCTCTCCTCCCACAAAAATGTATAAAAGTAATGCTTATTGCCCAGAAAGAAACAAAAGTTGGATAAACACAGAGAATTTCTGAAAACCCATTTTAAAAAGGATGCAGGCATCTGATTTATAGTATAAATGAAAAGAAAAAAAAAGAACCTGTACAGTGAAGTGAAGAACAATAGAAATAAAAGGATACAAGAGCAGTAATCTGTAGTATTACAAAGATGCTATGCAGGAAAGAAATTCCTCTGTATCCAGAAATTTCACCTTGAAGACTCAGTAATACTACTTACATATTTCAAAGTACCAGCAGGCAAATCTCCTGACCTGTAGCTAACTCATGAGCAAGTGCTGTTTGCTCATAGCTTACTACATTTTGAACAATGTGGCTACTGATGAAGCAGTGTAGTACAGTGCAGATTAATTAATCCCCTCTAAATCCTCCCCCCAAACTTTAACCATCATTATAGACAGATCAGCACAAAGTATTTCTTTTGTGTGCAGTACCAATTTTAAAAGTGGTTTTCCATAAGAAACTGTCCAGAGTAACAGCAGAAGTATTTTAATGCTATTGTGCAAATTTGAGTTCCTCCTTCCCTTGAATGCTGCGTTTTGTCCTTGATTATCAAACTGAGTTTCTAAGGCATTAATGAGCAATTTTCACTGGAGCATGCAAGTATACTTTGTACTTCTGAGAAGTCACACGGACAATCACATAAAAGAGTAAGCAAAACTGCAAAATGCAAAAGGAGACAATAATAACTGAAGGCTTAGAGACGTTCAGATGAATAACAACAGTTGAAATTAGCTTTAATTTCACTCTGATGGTGTAACTACACACATTAGCAAGACTGATCCCCGTGGAACAGTGATCAGTTAACAGAAAGGTTCTCTGGAAATTACTAAGAAACAGACATTTTCATGACACAAGGAGAAAAGAACAAGCTGTAAACTAAAGTTACAACATTAAAAAAATTCAGAGCTACAAGCAAGAGTAACTTACAGAATGCCTGCTGAAAAGGCATTTTAAGGAAATGTCTTCTACCAAGCTTTGTCAATTTTAGGCTTAGTCAGCATTTTCACTTGAGTTTAGTAAAGAAAAGTTTGGCTGTTTGCAGTGAACAGCCTCTGAGCCACCTGGCAGTGGAAGGAAATATGTCTCTGAGACTTGTACGTCCATATGATATCAGGATTTCCTATCCCTGCTGTATCTGCCCCTGATGGTTATCAGAAGGCATCAGAAGGCTTGTTGGGAGCACTGAGCTCTTCTGGTCTGGTTGTTTTAATCCTCTGGCTCCTTGCAATCAGGCCAGTTCATTTGGTACTAGTCACACACACTGTCAGTGCTATGCCTTGCTCTTACACCTGCCCCCACAGAGCTGGTAAGGGAGAGCTAAGGTTACAGAAGTCCATGGCTATGGCTCCCTCAGCCACACACAGGGAACCAGGCAGGGGCAGGTGGCTGCTGCTGAAAACTGCTCTCTCACACTTGGCTTTTCAGTGCTAATAACTTTCCACCAGGCAAAATTCCTGCAGCCCCCTTTCCACTACTGGCAGAACAGGACATTAATTTAAAAAGCAGAAGTACCCTGCTTCTTTCCTGAAGCTCTCTCTCCAAGCTGTTCTTAGAAAATAAATTAGCAACATCCGATTTTTTTTAAAAGGGAGAGTCCAAGTGAGGACACCCAAGTTCAGTCACTGTATCATCTCTCTTCTGCTCTGTTCTCTCCACTCTACACCTTCCTGATAGCACCTCCTGAAGCAGAATCAGGTCTTTCTCTGATCTTCCTTAAGTGAGAAAACAGCACAGATTTCATTAAAAAGTAAGTTTTCAGTTTGGCCAAAATCAGTTGAAGACATTCCAAAAGTCCAGTGTCAGCATTACTTGCACAGTTTGACTCAGCCCACGACCTACTTGCTTCAGCCAAACAGGCACACGTGCCCTGAGTGACGATTTCCTCTGTGAAAGGCTAAAATTCCCACCATACCTCCCAGGTAGGCAGAAAGAGGTAATGCTGCAGATAACAGGAAACTTCGTGGAATTTCCTGCAGCCACCCTCCTGTGGGAGCTGTAAGAGTTTGCTTTGGTCCACTCCCTGTGCACTTAAAGCACATGAACAGGATGTATTTCATCCTGCCCATACACAGTTCACAGGGAAAGAAGAGGCAACTTATGATTTCTACATACCCAGCATGTAAACACGTGTTTAGTTTTGCATATATAAATAATAAAAATACCTGAAATTTCATAGAAGCATAGAATCACAGAATAGTTAAGGCTGGAAGGAATCTTAAGGATAATCAGGTTCCAGCCTCCCTGCTATAAGCAAGGACACCTCCCACGAGACCAAGTTGCACAAAGCCTCATCCAACGTGGCCTTAAACACCATTAAAAGCCATTAAAATATTAAAATGCACTAGGACATATACAAAGATATAAAATATCTAAAGCACGGAGGGAGGCAGGTATGATTTTAGAAGCTTTCTGAGCCGGAGCTGGCACGCCCAGAGGCTGCCGGCGGCGGGACCGGGCGGCTCCGACCCCAGCCCCGACCCCAGCCCCAGCCCCGACCCCAGCC